GAGGGCTGAGGCTCGGGGGGGTGGCTCAGGCCCAGGCTGGGCTCCCTTTGCTCAGGGGGGGGGGGACAGAGCGGCCTCCTCGCCCTCTGTCTTCCTGCTGAAGTCCATGACGTGGTCGTCAGGCGTGTCTGGGGGCGTGTCCCGCTCCAGGACCTCCACGTCCACCCGGTCCTGCTCCCCGTGGGGGTCCTGGTCCCTGTGGAGGTCCGGCTCCTCTTTGGGGGGCCAGGCCTGCTGGGGGGGCTGCTGCTGGCTGAGCTCTGCGGCAGAGAGGAGGCAATCAGGCAACGCCCTCCGATGGTAAACCAGAGCAGTTTCACTTTTGACATGACACACACCATTCACACCCGTTTCTGTTAGTCAGCCACAGGAAGGACTCTGTGGGGGGGGCTGGAGCTTCTTTGTCGGTGGGGCTGAAGTGGGAGTCCAGGACCTGGCTCTGGGACTGGGGAAACCTCTTTTGGTGTTACTGACCGGTGCAGCTTGACGCTGCCCCCTGTGCTAGCCCGGTGTTAGCCTGGTGTTAGCCTGTCTGACCTGGCCTGTTACAGCCCATCAGAGATCAGGACCCTGGACTCTGACTGAGGCTTTAGTCACCTGGAAGTCCAGCGGACAGGTCAGCCTGAGTCATCGCCCCCCCCCCCCCCCCCCCACCCCGCGAACGCCAGCAGGATTCCGCTCACGGCGTGGCACATGACGCTCAGGGAAAGCAGTGACTCACAGGGACTTTGTCCGGGCGTATTGCCCTCACATGGGTCCCAGCATCACAAATCCCAGCTGGGGAGCTTTAAACTTTGTGGGAGGTTCCGGGGAAGCTGGCAGTTTCGCTCTGACCGGACAGGCAGAACTCGGAGATAACATCAGGGGACAATAAACCTTGTTTCTCTTCTAAACCCAGGAATTTGCTGATAGAGCCTCATCAGGCCGCCTTTAAGACACTTGTATAGCTCAGATCTAAATCTGTCCCCTTATCAGAGAGGAGAGCTTGAGTCATTGTGCCACCTCCCAGAGGAGAACGGCTCCTGACCAGCTCCCCTCCATCCACAGGTCCATCCACAGGCTCCTAACCACTCACACCGGGGGAGGGGGGGCCCCCACACTGGGGGGGGGGGGGACTCACTGTGTCTGAGCTGCTCCGGCCTCAGCTGCTCCGGCTGGCTGCACAGCCTCTGGGCGAACTCCTGGCTGTACCAGACCAGCAGCTCCTGCCGGGGCTCCAGCGGCCGGAGGGTGTAGAAGTAGATGTCCGGCCCCGTCTGGCAGGCCACCAGGTTCTGCTGGGCCGGGCTGCCGGCCGGGTTCACGTAGCGCATCCAGTTGCTCTTCTGGACGTCGTAGCCGTCAATGAAGTGCTGGAGCTGCCCGCCGCTGTAGATCTGTGAGGGAGGGGGGGACAGATGAGGACCAGGCGGCTTCTGGGACACATATACAGATACAGATACACACAAACACACAGACCATCACACTGACACACAACATGCCCCCTCCGGGCAGACCCACAAACAGACCGACACACCGAGATGCACACTGACCCACACACAGATCCACACACACTGACCCACACACACTGGCCAACACACAGACCCACACACAGATCCACA